GGAATCAGCTTTCATAGTAGGAAAAAACTAGATGTAAGGAGATAAAACTTTTTCTACTGCTTTGTCATGGAATGAGAGGGAATTGCTTGGGCCTGAAAGCAAGACAGGCTACTGAGCAGCTCCTTCTTACTTGCCATATGCAAGGACAAATTGCCAGAAGTAGTCCATGACCTGGGGCGGAAGCATTGGAAGTGGTTTGTGGGGGCCAGAGTGCCATCCCAGTGCTGGCAGCAGTTGGATATGTGTTGGTTATTGGCTGGAGCGAGCGAGCTGTGGGTGCTGGGAAGTTGGTAGGAGCTGGGAGTGCACGAGGAGCTGCTGAGGTGGGTGAGTGACAGGGGTGTCCTTGCAGCCCTCCCACCGCCACGCAAAACCCGAGCTGAGCTTATGAAAGACATCGATGCAGAGTACTATGGCTACAGGGACGAAGATGATGGTATTCTGGAGCCACTGGAGCAAGAGCATGAAAAGAAAGGTACGTGAAATTCCAAACCTGCATAACTCAGGCCTGGAAGAGCTGATGGTGCACTCTGAGTTAAGGTAGTGCTTTATTCCCTGAGGGTGTTGCCTTGTCCTTAGCTGTCAGATTTTGTCTGTCACATCCGTATCCAAATCACTGTATAGAGGGCAGGGAGTGTGCTTTAGAGTTGACTTTCATCTTTCCTACTGTTAATGATTTAATATTGTCAGCAAGTCATTTACTATTGTAGCAAAATCTCCTTTTTTCCCCTCCATTTTCATGCTAAATGTAAAAGAGCAGGTTGCAGCAATGAGATCCATGGAACTCAAGCAGTTATCTCCCTCCATTGTGAAAACTGACTATGCCATCTGTTTCCTGTCTCACCTCATTATTTTTTTATCCATAAACATAGCTGTTTAGTTTTCTGGGAGATTAGAGGAGCCTTCTGGAAACCCTGAAGTCTAGGTTGTCTGTGTTAATTTATCCACACGTCATCTCTCTCAGAACTTCAAGACGTTTGTGAATATTCTTGCCTTTGAAACCTAGTCTTTCTCAATACATAATACTTATCCATGCTCACATAGTTTTCTAGCTTTGTTTCTACTGACCTTCTTGGTAAAGACATTGGGATTATGAGTCTTAATCTCTGAAACTCTTCAAAATTCAGCACTGTGTGCCATTATCTGGTATTTGTGTGGCTTAAGCAAAAGGCCACGCACCACCTTTGTTTCCTAAATAGTTCTTAGTGCTTCTGGTGAGCACTGGCTGATCCTCAGAGTTATCCCATCTCCATGTGTGAGGTATTTTGTGTTCAAGGTCATGTCTTGCTGGTTAGATTGTAGGGCAGGGAGGAAGAAGGGGGTAAAGGCAATGTTTCACTTATCAGTGTCCTGCAGCACATCCTGGAGTGCTAAACCCAAGCGACTGGGAGCTGGCTGTGGGCAGGGAAGGGAAGTTGTGTGGTGCAAGGCTCCCAACAGCCTCCCACTCAGGCTTCATCCTGCACATCCTGCTGACTGCAGGCAGGAGATGTACCTGGCCAGGATTCCTGCAGTCTTTTAAGGAAATTGTCATCTTAGGTGATTGTGCCACTTGAAATAACAAGGCTGGAGATGCTAACAGAGCCAGTAGGTGTGCTGTTAATGGGCAGTAGCTGGGATTCTCTCAGGGTCACTGGTTGTCTGGGCTCTTGTGGCTTTTACCTTGTTAAGGAGAGTAAAGTTTTTGTGAAACAAAGTATTGAAAAAACTCTTTAATTTGTGGTGTCTTTTCTGTTACAGAACCACACACAAACACAGCCATGTGCCATCCTGCTCCCTCAGGGGAGGATTTTAATGTACAATCTGTGAGAGTTTGGGGGAATGCCTGCTGACTTCTACTGCTGTTGGCATTTCCTTCTGCCTAATTGCATTAGTATTGCACCTATCCAGGATTTTATGCACTGGCCATGTCATTGATTAAACTTCTTAAAACTTGTTTTAGCACAGTTAGTAGCACTCTGCTGTAGTAGAGCTTCAGCAGCCTGACAGCTTCAGCAGCCTGACAGCTTCAGCAGCCTGACAGCTTCCAGCTAACAGTGAGGTACAGAATTGGAATCATGCTACAGAGTAAGAGAAGTACACTCTGAGGTGAAAAGAGAGACTTGTGTGGATTGTCACTGTAAGGAGTGTAATCATGTTTAATTAACAACATGGTGATCAGCATCTCTGTAGCTGCTGACATGCTGCAAAGCTGTAAGAGCCACTTGGCCCAGTCATGTGACCCTGTTACTTCAGAAAGTAGGTTGATATTTATCTGTGACATTTAGAGTCCAAAATATACCTAAATTAAGGCACTAGCAAGTACCACACTTTGACAATGCTAACATGGGTTTTGCTCAGACTACAGTGATATATTTTATCAGATGCTACATCAAGGTTCCACAGTAAGTGTGTATGACTGATGTAGAGGATTTAGCCAAGAAGTTTAAGCTTTGGAAATAGGACCATGCTGCTTTGACTGACTCTTAACATACACCTGCCATTCTCCTCTGCTAAACAGTTATAGCAGAAGCAGTGGAAAAATGGAAAATGGAGAGAGAAGCACGACTAGCAAGAGGTGAGGAGGAGGAGGAAGAAGATATCTATGCTGTGAAAGATGATGAGGTAGGTGATGTGACATTTCATGTTTTCTATGCTGCCTTCTCAGATGTAGAGTTACTTTGCTGCCGTGTCCTGCCCTTCTCTCCATCTGACGTAGATGCAATTGTCCCTGTTTTGTAAGAATTAGTGGTAGGTGAGAGCACTTGGCCCAAGTTCAGCAAGCGCTGAAGGAGCAGGACCTGAATGTGATCCTTGTCATATTCCTTTGGTGTATGGCCCTTTTCACCTGCTTCCTGTGTTTGTAGTGTTGCTCATGCTCTGCCTCATTCCTTCTGGCAAATCAAGTGAGAAAAAGGGGGTTTATGACCTATTTAGAAAATAATGTTGATGTGGCTTAATATTTTTACTTTTTAGTCTGATGAGGAAGGTGGCAAGGAAAGAGAAGGCGAAGAAGGCCAGCAGAAATTCATTGCACATGTTCCAGTGCCATCTCAACAGGAGGTAAGACAGAACAAAATTCAGCTGCAGAGATGCACACTGGCTTTACAAGAGAGAAATCTCAACTTAGGGCAGGTCATCGATAAAAGTGTCCTTGATTTGTTATTTCTGTGACTTGACTCTGCAGTTGTTTAATCCTCCTTCAAATGCTCTGTGGCCAGAGTTGTGGTAGCATTGCTATAACCCTTTTTACCTCAGAATTTCCAAAGCCTCCACAAATATTCCATAACTGGGAAGTGTTGCAGTGCTATGGTCAATAATGCAGATTGCCTGATGTATCTGTACTGTGCCTCTCTGCTGATGGTCTGACTGCTTCAGTTTTATTTTTAATTTAATGGAGTGATGTATAAACTGCAGGGTTTGCTCTCATAGTGTTCTAAAATCATTTGGTGGCATGACCTTAAATTGACTACTATATTTTGAAACTGCTCTAGGGTGTATATTACCTTAACAGTGATAGGTTGTTTGAAGTGTAAGTCAAGAAAGAAGGTTCTGGAGTTACATAGCTGTTTCTCTTTTTTTAGTGGCAAATCACTCCATACCTTATGCCTACAGTATTATGCCTTCTAGATTCTGAATTACAAAAACCTAAGGCTGAGAACACTTATTTTGAGAGATGTTGTGTGCAGTTTGGACAAATATAAAATCATTACTGAGTTTAAAACAAGGCTTGCAGGTGGCTATTAGTGGATCTTTAAGTATGTGCTGAAAGGATATGTATTGCTGGCATTTGTAGGCAAAGTGCAGGTCAGAGGTTCATGGCTGTGGCTGACATGAAGGGCACACTCAGGAAGTGTTATTTCAGGGGTGTGGACTCATGTGGCATAGCTCCATGTGTTCTGCATTTCCTAAAGTTACATCTGAGAGGAGAATAGTTTGCAACAAAATTCAGGTGACTGTACTGAGGTCAAAATGAAATGGCAGCTAACACCCTGATTAACCAGGGTGGGAGCATAGATCAGAATCAGAAGCATCTGTTCTACAGCTTCTTTTGACTTCCAGGTGCTTCAGCTGATACTCCTGACTCATCTTTGTTCAACTACTTCTACACTGGTATGCAGCTCTAACTTTCACAGGGTGTTTCCTGTCTTTTTCTTCCTCCTATCTGGCTGAGCATCCTAGGCTTCAGCATCTCAATTAAGCTGAATGATATTTTTTTATTTGCAGATCGAGGAAGCTCTTGTACGGAGAAAGAAGATGGAGCTTCTTCAGAAATATGCCAGTGAAACCCTCATGGCACAGAGTGAAGAAGCAAAGACACTTCTAGGATTGTAACATGACACCGGTGTGTGCTGGTTTGTGTGGAACCCTTCGGAAAGCAATAGGTTCCTGTGTTCTGGGAGCAATCACTTTTAGCTCTCAAAGACCCATTGGATGTTAAGAGTAAACTGATGGGATTACAGTGTGGTCTGCAGAAGGAAAACCTTCGTTTTGGTTTATCCACTAGGATAACTTTCACTCCAGTGCTGAAAAAGATCAAACCTTCATCTTCAACAACTTCAGTCTTCAGTCCTGTCAGTTTGTAAAAGGGTCTGTGCAGTGATGCCTCTTACAGACAGAACTGCACACCCAGCAACTCCCTAAGTCCTGAAGGAAAACTGATGGTGTTACTGCCATCCTGTCTGCTCTATCCTGACTGTAAGTGTACACATCTATATCATGCTGGTTTTTGTTGAGCTGAGTCCAGGTTTAACTCACACCTGTTCTAGTTTACCAGAACAGCCTCAAACCTGTGTAGAGGTGCCTTGATGGCAGATCTTACAAGTGACTTTGAAGTTGATTTGCTTCTTTATATAACACATGCAATGTCTAAAATCTGTTGCCCTTTTTGTGGTTGGTAACTGTGCCTGGATGAATAGCTTAAGTGCTGAGTATTCCAGCAACTATTGTGAATACTTCCAACTTTGCAATACCTTGTTGAAATATTTTTAGTAAAACTTATTTACAACCTGATGTCTTGTTTCATTCTAGCTCAAAGGACTGCAGTGGTTTCCTAATCGTAGCCAAAGAATGGGATAATAAACAGCCATCCATGTAGGGATGTGAAGCTCAGCATCCCCTACTGCTCTTGGCTCCTGTATCCTGTGACAAGAGGGAAGTTACAGCAGAGCCTGTTGAGAGTCCTGTGGGGGCTAACACTGTTATACAGGTCAGAATGAATGGCATTTTAAATTGGACATCTGCAATGGGCTATTTCTATCCAAAGAATAGAGTATTTAACAGCCAAGTAACCATGGCTGGGACTGTTAAACATTTCTAGGTGCTCTTAGTATTAATCTGTTACTATCTACTCTGAATAATTCACTCCAGAACAATCAGAATACTTAATTAGAGACAAGCTTTGTCTTACTTGATGTAAATAATGAAATAAAAAAGCCTTGCAAATGTGGAAAGTGTAGCTGCCAAATTAAAACCTTTAAAAAAAAAAAAGAGAATTAATCAAAAGCTCAATTATTGGTAGCAAGCAGACAACTCACATCACAAACATTCTTCTCGCTTTCTGTTAGCAGTGCAGCTTTCTCTGCTTTGTAATAAAGCAGCAAATTAGTGTCTTTATCACTCCTGATAATTTGTGTGCTCTGAGGTGCATCTCCAAAGTGGGTTTTGCTCTGCTCTATGAGAGTTTTCTGTTCCTGAGTTTCAAGAAGTGATGTGTTCTCTGTATTGCTGTAAAAGACAACACTGTTTCCCAGAGTTCCTTCTTCAAAACCCCTGGCCACCAAGAATGAAAAAATAGGCTCCTTTCCTGTTGGTGCTGACAGTACTAGATCAGACTAGTGTCCTTTGCCTACAGAAAAGCTCTGTATGTGAAGATAAAGGCTGTCTGGGCTGCTACTGCGGCCCCTGAGTCTCTGGAGCTGAATGAATAGGCACGTGGCCTCCTAAGGCCTTACCATGTTTCAGGAGTGTTGGTCACAAACCCTGGTGTGACCAGGGCAGGAGGACATGACACCAGCTGGAGCAGCCAAATGGGCTTGCCAAAACAGAGTTGGAGCTCTGTCGTGAACAGCTCCTTGCCAAGCGTCCTTTCTGCTACGCTGAGCTTTTGGTTTCTTTATTTGGTTTTTAGTATAAAACTAGTTTTTTCTTTCAGGGGAACAGTGCTTGAAAGGGGAAGGACAGAATCTTGCTGTAGATTTGCTAAACTATATGGAGGAGATAACCAAAATATATTTTAGAGGGGGGAAAAAGCCTAAGTAGTTTGTATGGATACAGTCTGGGAAGTTTGATAATACCAGTGGTAAATCCCTTCTGTCGCTATATGAATCTGTAGGGTAGAGAACAGAAGGGTAAAGGCAGATCAGGGACAGAGTAATGATAACTGAAGGCATAAAAAAAGGAATAAATTGAAAGAACGAGAGAAAATCAACAGGATTGTGATTGCAATCATGTTCAAAGGAGTAGCTACCAGCCCTGAGCATGACCAGCATCATGATGTAAAAGGACAGCTTTTAAGTCAGGGCAGATTTCTGACAACCAACCTGGAGATGGAATACATGCATGAAAATGCATTATGCAGCTGTTCAAGGCAAACTGGCTGTGCCTGTTCTGAGCACTCTCTGTCTGTAGCTTTTGCTGCTAAGTGTTTTTAAGTTGAATGACCTTCTCTACTGTGTCTGAGCCAAGAAATTGCAGAGGAGTTACTTGCCACGGTGGCCTGTAACAAAATGCTGGCGTCCTGCCTGCTGTGGGATTGCTGGTGGAGTCAGGGCGGGGAAGCTGCTGTGGCCACAGTCAGGAAACTGATCCTGTTTGTCGTGGAGAATGAAGTGACGCGTAGGCTGAAACGGAGTGTGCTGCTCTGCTTGGATGTGTGCGTGTTGTCAGGCTCATAGCTCATACCACCTCTGCAGTGCCTCAGTCTGAACATACCCAGGTTACGAGAAAAATATGTAATACATGCAGCTTGTTCTCTTGCCTGCTTCAGCGTTCTGCACTGTGTGTCATCCTGGCCAGGACTCGAGGGGATAACCTCCCTAATTGTTCTCTCTGTTGCATCGGTTCCAGCTTGCTTTTGTCCTTCAGAAATGCATTTCTTGGTTTATTTGATGCCAGCACCTAAGTGGTGCAGATTGAAGGCCACGGTCCTTATTCTTTGTCTCGGTGAGCACAGTGCCATTGCTGGAGGATCAGAGAGGTTGGTGAGAAATATTTGTTGGCAGCTCTAGGAAATAAGTGGATT